AATATTCAAATAACGGAACTTAACAAAAAAAGGGGATACAGATGAATGTCCATTTTGTATCTGTGTATTCAAAGTGGCTAGGATAGATATATAGTTACATTCTCTTAATGAATAGAGGGATTTGTTCTAATGGTGTTTGTAAATAGAATATCATGTCCGTGGAATTATTTTCTAATAAACTTCAGAACAATTGAATAAAGTCTTCAGAAAATAAGAGGACATGTTTGTGCTTATCTCTGCAGGGATTTAGGAAGTAATAAGATTGAAAATCTTCCACCGCGTATATTTAAGGATCTGAAGGAGCTGTCACAATTGTAAGACTGGTATTTATTTTATACTTTATTTCTTTATTATTTTTTTAAGTGTGGTAAAATATACACACAATGAACTGCTGAAAGTGTGCAGTTCAATACCATTCAGTGTACTCACGCAGCTGTGCAGCTGCCGCTGCTGGCCTCCTCCAGGATTCTTTCATTTGTCACAGTGGAAACTCCGAAACTGTTCAACACCCCTTCTCTCTTCCTGCTTCCCCACACCTGCTGGAGCCCCAACTCTACTCCACACCTCCATGAATTCGATGAGCCTAGCAGCCTTGTCTAATTAAAACATGCAACAATCGTCATGTTGCGGCTGCCTTGTTTGGCTTAGCTTAACCTCTTCCACGTTCATTCAGATGTAGCAGGTGTCAGGTCCCTCCCGCAGGCTCCGGAAGTTCCACAGCACAAACACACTGAGCCACACGCTGTGTGTGTCCGTCCGTCTTTCCATGCATACTCGTGTTGTTTCTCTCTCTTAATCATTGTGACTAATGCCTTTATGAACGTGATTGTGTAGATACTTGTTTGAGCTTCTGCTTTAAATTCCCCGAGGTATTCAAGTGCTTGTCTTACAGTAAGGTTATGCCCTAATCCATCATAAACTGAAGATGACATAAGTAAAACGCTCTTAGTACACCTAAGCTGCCAAGCATCACAGAGCAGCAGCACGGTGCACACAGAGTGCCTGTTTTTACTCTTGTGCATTTGAGGCTGACCGGAGGCTGCAGCCCTCTACTGTGTCACACCAGAGGTCGCTAGTCTGGGAAAAGAGCAGAGTTCAAATCCCAGTGTGTACTCAAGGCGTGTTGCTTTCACACCATCACAAACAGAAATGGCTCAGTCAAGCCCCTGTGAGGCCCCGTCTGCCCTCCTCGGAAGTGGAACTGCTGACAGTGTGGTAATTGATTTTTATTCTTTGCTTGCTTCTGTCCCCCGTCAGAGTTGCGCCCTCATGCTTTTCCGCTAGCGGTGCGCAGGGCTCCCGTTTCTCCACCCCCTCCAGCAACTGTCGTTTAGAGCTTCTTGGTTATAGCCACTCCGCCAGCGAGAGGCTGATTCTCCTCGTTGCTTGCATCACGTTTCCTCAATGGTCACCGATGCGGAACACGCTTCCTTGGGTTCTTCAGACATTTCCATGGATTCTTGGAGAAAAACCTACTCAAGCGTTTGCCCATTTTTAATTTGCTTTAGTTATTGAATTTTAGTTCTTTACATAATTTGGGTATTGAAATTTTTTTAGATTTGTGGTTTGGAAATCTTTTCTTCCTTTGCATACCTTCCATGTGCACTCTGACTTATGTGTCCTTTCGTGCAGATGGCTTTAATTTTGATACATTCTGGTATTGTATTTTTCTTTTGATATTTTTGGTGGCATGACCAAGAAATCATTGCCACTTACAGTGTCGTGGAACTCTTCCACCATGTCTCCTTCTAGAAGTTTTATAATTTAGTCTTCCAATTGATTATCTTTTTTTATTTTAAAGAGACAAAAAACTACATAAACATTAAAAATGATACAGAATTTCAAAACGAGATGATAGGCAATCAGCATTGGTTGTTGTATTGCATATTGCTGTCTGCAATGTAGTTCTTCAGATTACCAGATATAAGCACGTAAAATTGATCAAAACATTAAAAAGTGTTAACTACTCCTTTCAAAAAC